GCACCTTTTCCCTCTGTCAGGGTTTCCCAACCTATGGGTCGGGACCCAAACATGGGTCGCCATTACATTTCAAAAGGGTTGCCAGCTGGCTCTTAAGGAGCCATTCCCACATTTTTTGAATTGCCTTGGGTTGCCAAGTCTTCCTGAATTGTCAGAATGGGTCCCCATCTGGAAAAGGTTGGGAACCGCTGCTCCCAGTCCTTGACCTGCCAGCCCTCCCTAAAGGGAAGCCTAGTGAGCTAGTCCTAGCCGGTCCTTAACGGGCTGCAGGTGAACTGATTAGCCTGTCTCTGGCAAGCTGTTAATTGGCTGCAGGATCCTCCTGATTGTGCTGCAGTGACCCCTGCCCTGGTCACTCAGAGAACAGAAAACTATTCACCCAGTGCCCAGTAAATTTACCTTCTATCCAACTCCTGTAGCCAGCTGATCTTGAGTCAGTCACACAGGGAAAGTAAATGCTTATCGGACTCTTTAGCACAGCCTTGGAAATGGCAAGTAAAAAAGCTGTTCGTGTTTTCATCATCTCCATCGGGAATGGTAGTTGGGGGGCTTTTACCACAGTTTTGCCAGGTTGCGCTAGCACACATCACTATGTCCCTTTATAAACTTGACCTTCTGGGGAGGACTAGCCTGGGATTTACTAGAGTCAGAAAGTAAATCAATGGAAGGTTGGCTCTGTGTGATGCTGTTTATAACAGCAATGCCATAAAAGTATCCTGGTATAACTGTCCCTAGGGCACCTCCAGGCAGTTACTCTTCATTGTTTTGAAGACTGGTTTCTAATTCTGCCCTCACCATTGTGGTTGGTACAGTTGCCCTTCTAATGCTCCTGGCTGTCTTCTGGTTTCTTTCCAGCTGCTTGGTAACTTCAAAGATAAAGAACGCAGCACCATTGCACAGCATGTCAAAGGGAAGAAAGTGTGGATTGGAATCAAGAAGCTGCTGATGTTGATTGAGATGTCGTTACAAGTAAGAGGCTTTTTACTTTGCGGTGCGAGAGAGAGACTTGAACATTCTTGAAAGTACTTTTTGGCCCACAGCCCCTTGCTTCCTAGGCTGAAGCCTGTATTCTGATATGAGCATGTTACATTTCGAAAAAGGCAACTGTTCCCTGCAACAGTTTTCAGTTCCAGTCAGGGGAGAGAGAGCACCATGTCTCAGTCCACCAAGAGATCTGTACAAATAGTGTCCATGAGCAGTATTAAGTGAGTGTTCAGAGAAGAGTCTGCGAGCCAGAGGGCCTGAGTTTTAATGAATTGCTTTCTTGAGCGCAAGTGATAAGTTAGCAGATAGTGATAATTGAGGATTTTGTTATGAAAAAGTTCCCTGTGCAGGTGTATTGGCTGTTTTCCTGAAAGAAGATAAATCTGTCAAGCTGTTCAGCTGCTCTCTTCATTTTCCATTTTGAGCACTTTAAAGGAAAGAATCGCCTAGGGCAGAAATGTGTAGCTTAGTCACTCACCCTTGCATCTTCTGTGCCTGCAGCACCTACTCCACTTTAGGCCTAATCCCCCATAGCTGATATTTCAGATCCTTCTCCATTTGAACCCTTCCCTCCCATTCCTACTTTTTTTCCTTAATCAAATGGTTTTGGTGCAGCTGAATGTTTTGTCTTTAGATCTTCCGACGAGATGCTGAGCAGAAGTGAAGAAACCTATAGTCTAGCAGCATAAAAGTCATGTATCCTCAGTTCACTATTCACAATTCTGTTAAAACTTGCACAGTTCTGAGGACCTGCTCTAACTAGATGTCACCTGAGGGAATGAAGTCATTCATCTAGATTACTTTTTCCTCTCTTCCCCTTGCCTTTTAATTCCATCCCTACAGGCAAGTCAGTAAGCCATTGCTCACACGCACTAAATGTGTTTAATGGGCTCGGGCCTGCAAGGTTAAGTTACAGCCAATTTTACTTAAAATCTTGCATTAGATGCTTTTGTAACCTCTCTGAGACAGGTAAATGACTTTGGTTAGATTGTGACCTTGAACATTGGTGCCTTTAAAACTCCAGGCTTAAAGATGTGCAAAGTAAGTTCTGAAATGAGGGAGTGGGAATCAAATTGCACCAGATTTTCCCCACAGCTGCATACCATCCTGGTGAGTGGTGTCGCTAGAGGGCAGGGTGGTTTTCCCCCTTGGCAGACAGGCCGCTGTCCTGGAATGTCAGAAGAATGTTGTTGCTTACAATCCAAGTGCAAGTTCAGGCATTTACAGTGATATTTTTAACCAGGTGGTCATTTCATAGATGATTTGAAACCTTAATAGACAAAGCTGAAGGAAAGTAGGTAGCATTTTAACTTAGGTTAAAGTCTTTTTGAATACATTAGAGTGGTGGATAATGAGTAAATTGCTGCTTATACAGATGATTTGGCTAGTAGTAATGAGACCCATAGTCAGTATTTAAACTAATTCAAATTTTGCATAGTTCTTTTCTACTTGGGCTTCCACACAGTTGGTATCTGTGTGTTGCAAAAAATCATAGCTTCTCCACACACCTGACACAGTCACCATATTTACTGGATCCACGTTTACAACAGATAAGTTGAAGATCTTACGGGACTAGAATGCTGCTCTGGCCTACCTTCATGCATGGCCAAAGTCATGGAATGTCACCAAGGGAAGACGCATGTCAAGCCCATACCTTCTGGGTGAGCTAGAACTTGTCTTCTCAACAGACATCTAACCCTGATCAATCCACCACATGCCTACGCAGTTTGTTCCAGGATTAATTTCCCTCACTGTTAAAAAATGGCACCTTATTTCTAGTTTGAATTTGTCCAGCTTCAGTTTCCAGTCACTGGTTCTAGTTAGGCCTATGTCTGCTGGAGCACTGAGACTGGAATTCTCTCCATTCAGGTACCTCTTAATTTCCTCTTGGATAAACAAGATAGAGTGAACTGATTCAGTCTTATTAACATACCTGTAGAAACCTTTCTTGTTCTCCTTCACATCCTTATCCAGTCGCAATTCCATTTGCGCTTTCGCCTTCCTGATAACCCCCCGGCAGTCTCGAGCTATACCTTTAAACTCCTCCCTGGTCATTTGTCCAAGTTTCCACTTTTTGTAAGCTCCCTTTTTATGCTTAAGTTCACCAAGGATTTCCCCCGTAAACCAATCCGATCTCCTACCATGTTTTCCTCTCTTGCTACTCGTCGGGATAGTTTCTTTCTGTGCCTACAATAAGGCTTCTTTAAAATACTGCCAGCTGTCCTGGACTCCTTTCCCCTTCATGTTAGCATCTCAGGGGATTCTGCCCATCAGATCTCTGAGGGAGTCAAAGTCTGCTTTTCTGAAGTCCAGAGAGTATATTTTACAACTCTCTTTGGTCAGGATCCTGAAATCTACCATCTCATGATCACTGCTTTCCAGATAGTCACCCACCTTTTCTTCTCCTACTATATTCTCCCTGTTCGTGAGCAGCAGGTCAAGCTGCACATGGCACCTGGTCAGTTCCTTCAGCACTTGTACCAAGAAGTTATCCCCAACATTCTCCAAAAACTTCCTGGATTGTCTGTGTACTGCTGTATTGGTTTCCCAACTGATGTCAGGGTGACTTAAGTCCCCCATGAGAACCACGGCCTGTGATCTGGAAGCTTCTCTCAGTTGTCTACTTCATCCACCTGATCCAGTGGTCTATAGCAGACACGAACTACATCACCACTCCTGTTGCTTCCACCTCTAAACTTAACCCATAGACTCTCAACAGGCTTTTCTCCCTCTAGATACTGGAGCTCTGAGCAAGCATACTGCTCTCTTGCATACAATGCAACTCCTCCTCCCAGTCTTCCCCACCTATTCTTCCTGAACAGTTTATACCCTTCCATGACAGTGCTCCAGTCATGTGAGTCAACCGACCAAGTCTCCGTTATTCCAATCAAATCCTAGTTCTTTGACTGGGCCAGGGCTTCTAATTCTTCCTGTTTGTTTTCCAGGCTTCTTGCATTTGCAGTTGATTGCCCCACCTCCTTCATTCGCGTCAAAGGTCCTTCTTTGTTGCTCGTTCCTCCTTGTGTTTATTCCTGGTATCCAACTTCCCCACTTACCTCAGGGTTTTGGTCACCGTCCCCCAACGAGCCTAGTTTAAAGCCCTCCTCACTAGGGGTACGTCTAAACTACATGGCTCCGTTGACAGAGCCATGTAGATTTGTTGTTTTGGCAAAGGTAAATGAAGCCGTGATTTAAATGATCACGGCTTCATTTACATTTACATGGCTGCCGCGCTGAGCCGAGAAACAGCTGATCAGCTGTTTGTCGGCTCGCGCGCTAGTCTGGACGCTCCCCTGCCGACATCAAAGCCCTTTGTCAGCAGCCCCAGTAAACCTCATCCCACGAGGAATAACGGGGCTGCCGACAAAGGGCTTTGATGTCGGCAGGGGGGCGGCCCGAC